ACGCTAGCCCCAGGCTATGGGAGGCCGTTGTGTAGTGTATATCAGCATCAGTGGCAAGTCTGGGAGATGAGGAAGGTTGTTCCTCCATCATCCTTCTCTGCTTCCACAGCCTGGACCCATGTTGCTCGTGCATCTCCCGAGTGCATCTCTTGTGTCCTCCGCAGGACCGCAGGAAGAGAGGAGGTGGAACCACTGCTCCAGCCCCTCTCTGAGTCTATCCTGGTCCTCATGGTGGGCAGAAGCTTGCCCTCATAGCCCTCAGCCGCAGCATCATGCTCTGAGAGCGAGGAACCTGCCTTGTTTATTTACCAAATGTTGTTTCATCAGTTGCCTTCCGAGGTAACTTCCAGGGCAGTAAAGGTGCTGAAGAGGAGGAGAGGGTGAAGGTCAGCGGTGCCTGGTGTGGGCAGGCGGTGTCGCCGGAAGAAGCCCAGGCTGCAGGAGGAGGAAAGATGTCTAGCTGTCTTAATGTCCCATGGGGGCATGAGGTAGGAAGGGAAGAGAAACCCTGTGAAGACTCAGTTACAGCTACTTGTGAATTGAGTTATTTGCAATACATTACATGTGAAATTAAGTTATTACCAGGCAGATCACACTCTGTATGGATGCAAGATCATTGCAAGTACAGCCCTTCTCTGACCTTACATCAAAGAGGAAAATCAACGTTTAATTGTCTAGACTAGATAGACGTGAATGTTCCAGCAACGTATTCCACGCCTCTCAGATCTGGTGTTAGTTTCGGTCTCATGGGGTATTGAAAAATTGTCTGTTAGGCACTCATTTTGTATGCCGTCTTGCTTTGGACCCAGCAAGTTTGTGTTTTCAGGCTTTTCTTAGAAGCATCCTGATAAATGAGTGTAGGCTGATACCACTGAGGTCATCTCTTGGCTCCAGGATATGGGGATTTTGGGAGGTGCAGAAGTTCTTCTTCGGCTGCAAGGCAAGTTTTTCTAGCAGGAAAAATAGCAGCATGGTTAAGAGGCGGGGTGGTTAAGTATTGGATGAGGAGTGGAAGATGTGTGTGTGTGTCCCACCTCTTTGCACAGGCTCTCTGGCTGTATCTAACGAGTGTGCCCAGACTGCAGCAGCCCTGCACCCTGGGCTGTCACAAGCAGGAACCCAGGAGGGCCAGGTTGCTCCTCCAGCTGTTGAAGCTCAGTGGGAGATGTTGTGACTCTCCTGCCCTCTTCCCCAGATGTTTTCTGCAGGTCAGGCAGTCACTGCCTCTGCAAGGCAACTGGGGTGGTCCTGGCTGCTCCGAGAGGTGACCCTCCCGAAGGAGGACTGTGCATTTGGTGTGGGCTCCAGAGTCTGCAGTGCACCTGCTTGACTGCACCACCCGGAGTAGCTCCTCTGATTTGGTCATGGGAATACTAATGAGTGTAAAGTTAAATGTGCATGGGTGACAGACAGTTAGAAAAGGACAGAGAACACCCTGGATGTCTGTCATGCAGAAAGAACATCTGCTCCTGTTCCTTCCCCAAAGAAAGCAAAAATATTAAAAATAAGAACAACTCTTTCAAATGGTGTAATTGCTTATTAGTTTGTGTATTCCATGGCTGAGAGCAGTGGTAATTTAACTCCTGTTTCATTTACTATAATGTTGGGATTAAATGCACACAGGATAATAGCCCATTTCCTAGAAAGGCTTCTTGGAACCAAGTGTCTGGTGCGTGCTTACATACTTCTTGCTATGAATTGTGCTTTTCTCCGTGTACTGTGTGAGGCAAAAAGATTTATGGCTTTAATTTCACCTCTTTCTGCTCTTCTTTTAGGAGTTTCTTTAAAGCCTTTTCACTTATCGGAGAAACTCAGGAACGAGAGAGAGTTTTAATCCACTTCTCCAGCAGATACTACCAGTGCAACCCAAACACCATTTCTTCTCAAGGTAACTTTGCTTCTGATACAAAGGTCTTTGGTTGTCTCCCTCTTCCTTCATTCTCGCCTTCAATAGCATATATGGTGCGCGCCTGGGAACTGAAGGTGTGTAATTGCCATGCCACACTTTAGAAACTGCCTGTGGTGAGCATTGAAACCCTCCACGTTCTCCACACATAATCATGATAAGGCAGTGAAAAATCTGTATTTATCCCCACTCAGGAAAGGTTTTTAGACCTCCTCGGTGTAAATGCTCAGTTGTGGCATTTACAGATTTGAATGTCCTCATTTGTGGTTTCTGGTCTTGCAGCATGTGTGGGTACCTGTGCCCTAGGTACATGCGCGTGGATGAGAATAGGTCCCATCTCAGGTGGGAGAGAAGCTGTTTGCTTTCCGTGCTCCATTCAGTGCTTGTGTCTTTGCACTCACTGGCAGCAGGCATGCCAGTTCTTGCCAGTTGTGGGGGTGAATTTTGGGTGCTGTATCCAGACCCTGGCATGGTTTCATCTCGACTAGCTAGCATCAGTTGCAGTGCTGTCTCCTTTCCAATGTTTTCCATCATTTTGGAAATGGATGGGGGAAACAAATAAGCACACAGATCAAACCTGAGAAAGCTGGCATTGGAGAAGAGGACAAACTGTCCGCTGGCATAGTTGCTGTGTTCAGCCAGCCATGCCGGCATAGACATGGGACCCTGTGATGGCAGCGCGGGCTGATCACACGCTGAGAAAGGGAGGAGGGCGAGAAAGAAAATAAGCATGGGCTAAGCTGTGCCTTGAGTCTCAAGTGTAAGTGAGAAGGAGCTGCTACACTTGGGGGTACTGCCACACTTCCTTACCCCTTGCTTTGTGACCTGCCCCTGTTGCAGTGAATTGATGTTTGTCCGCTTTGTGCCTGTTCAGCTTTACTGGCTGGCATGCGGGGAGGGGAATAGGTAGCAGTAAGACAGGATCTGCTGCTGTGCTATCTCTGTCCTCTTCGTAATGCCTTTCTTCTTTCAAGACACCACGGGCAATCAGGTAGAATAGGTGTGTCATATCCAAACTGAAATAATGACTTGCATGTTGATGTGGCAGCCTTACTCTAGTCCAAGGTGCAGGAGGGACATTGCTACTTCTCAGCTTAAGTAAGCATTTAGATTAAAGTGAGTCCTGCACACTTTGCCCAGGATTCTACACAAGTTTGATGCTGTATTTCTACTGTCAGTAGTTGAGTGCTATACTGCAGAAATAGGATGGTTGTTCCTTTTAATAGAAAATGCAGGATTGCATTTGCCTTTCTCTTTTCCCCTTTCTCTTTTCCATCCTCTGGATGTATTTGCCGTTTGGAAATGAGGCTACAGGCTACTTTAGAGAAATGCACAGACCTGAGCTGGAGCATCACAGCCCCAGATTCAAGCTGCTTCAGACTTACTACTGTTAGTGATAATAGTTCTTCTCTCATTTCATGCTCTGCCACAGTTCAGCCACATTGTTTGGGTGCTAGGGCCTCAACCAACATCGTAAGAAAACATGGCCCTTACCTTGGGGAACATCTTTTTGTGATGGCTTCATCTTGCGCAGATTTAAGCCTGTGATAGTCACACTGAGTGTGAGATATACTTCTCCTCATTCCCCATTTCTCTTCCTTAACAGCACAGAGTGACCCATGCGTAGTCATTGTCTGGACTGGGCTACAAAGATTTTTACGTACATCTCTCTGCAGTGTGTACATGTCTCACAAATGACTCTGTGTCTTTATGACACCCCTGTGAGAGAAGGGAAGGTGGCACCCTATGTTTATGAACAAAAGAATGGAGAAAATACTTTTCCAAATGTGTTCCTAACGTTTGGAAACTGGCTAGAGGCATATGGATTTTCAGAGGTGATAAATGGCACCATGGGCACTGTCACCTTCATCTGCATTTGTGCACAGCCAATACGCTTTAGGTTTTAAAAGGGGTGCCTGGAAAATGAGGACTATGCAATTAGTGTCCACTTTTGCAAATGACAGTCTACACTGACTTTCCCAAGTCTGCCACAGTGACTCCAGGGGTTGAGCCAGGGATATCATCTATCTCTTCTGGCTCATTGTTGAGCACCTTTGCTACAGGACCACCGTAGAGATCGCTGGAGCACTCTCTACCCAATATGGAGCCCCAGGCAGTGTAAATAGCTGACTGAAGTTCTCCAAAATTCAGTCTAATTGAGCCCTGAATGAGGAGGGGCCAGAGGAGGAGGAAGATAGAATACTGTGTTGTATCCACTCTGCACGCAAGAATGGGATTATTTTACACTTCCCTTTCTGCCCTGAAATAAATGAAGAAGAGGGAGTTGATTCAGGCTGCAGAATTGGTATTAGCAAGCAAAGGGTGACAGCATGGTTTCCTGTCTAGTTTGCCTCATCGATGGGTGCTGCAAGATAGTTTTGACAGTCATTAAAAGATGAAAGAAAGGCTGTTCTGGCTTGGCAGCTGTGGGATGACCTCACTGTTCATTTGTTTAATTATGTGTATTTCTTGATAAACCAGATTCTCATTAAGGAAACAGACTCAATTAGGCTATGAGGCTCAGTTTCAGCTGTTCTTAAAGGTCCAGTCATGGGTTTGCATGTGACTCTCGATATGTCTCTTTCTGCAGATGGAGTTCACTGTCTCACGTGTGCCATGATGCTGCTGAACACAGACCTGCATGGCCACGTGAGTACGCAGAGCTTTGTGTAGACTGCTCCCATTGACACTGTGCTTGGAGGGGGTGGTCTTCTGGCAGCAGAGTCCTTTTGCTGGCAGCCTGCTCCTAAAGCACCCCTGCAGACAGCAAACAGCGAGAAGGCTGCACTCCCAGGCTGTTGTCTTGAGCAGGGCTTTCCAACATGTCCAGATCAGTCATGTGTAAGCTGGCATTGTGCCTGGCTTTGCCATAAAGCGTGAGGATGCTCCTTGTCCTCAGGCCCCCATCCTTCTGTTGTGCTTCCCATCCTTCCCTGGTTACAGCAGCTGGCCCTGGCCAGGAAGTTGTGGTTGGGATTGGCTTCCCCTTTCCAGTATGTAAAAACATTTGGGAAGGCAGAAGGAAAAAAGGAGGTGAAGAGGTGCTGGGAAGGTAACAAGAGGAAGGTGAAGTTTGCAGGCATCCAGTTGCAGGGGGGAGGACTCTGGTGGAACCAGAGTTCTGCTCAGCCAGGGTAATGACAGGTGTGCCCAGAGCCAAAAGAGCAGAGAGGGGATGTGGGCATCCTGAGTGGGAGCTCTGTGTTTCCCCCACTGCATACCTCTCCCCACTGCCTGCCCCGGGGAAATAGTATTCCAGTTTGAGTCCTATTAGTCACACTGGTGCGGGGTGCCAGCAGCCCTAGGATGTGTATCTCAGCACCCATGGTGCAATACGCCTACTATGCATGGTATTCCCATGCTCATCATGGGAGGCTTCCTCTGTCTTGGAGTCAGAATGGAGAGGGGAAAACACAGGGAGCATGGCATGATACCATGCAGGAGTAGTGGCTTCAGCCAGGTGGCTTTGAGGCTTCTCTCTGGCTGAGACCCTCTGCTGCAGTGCCGAGGACTATTCCAGGAGGGCCTCAGTTGGGGCCTCTTACATAGCAAGGGTGGTGGGTTGGGCAGCAGGAGATGGACGCACCCTGATCTGTCTCCAAGGGCTGCTTGACCCCTGTGGGTGCAGCTCTGCAGTGGGTGCAGGTAATGAAGCCCAGGCTTGTGTGTGCTTCCTCAGGGGTTTTGACACCCACCTCCTGTTAATTGAATGCCTTTGTCTGAAAATTGTAGAAGTGGGAGGGGGAAGGGTGTTGCTGAGATTTTTTTTTCTCTGAAGGCTGATCCTTCCCAGACTGAAGAGCGTGTCAGTCGTATGGGAGGGTGAGTGGAGGTACAGCAACATGCCACGGTGTGCCTCTTGGCATACACCGCTCCTTTTGACCACACCTGCGACTCCCTGCGCAGGTATCCTGCTCCCCGGAGCAATGAGCAGCCTGGGGCACCTACTCTCCAGCCTGCCTGGCCTTGCAGTCCAGGGAGGGAGACTAAATGGTTGTGCATCAGCCTGACAGCATTTCCCATCACTCCCTGTGATGCTTTAGTGTGCCCTACTGTCTACATTAGGTACTGGAGTAAACAATCTGTCTGACCCATTGTTGCTGATGATGATTTGCAGGTGAAGCTAGGATGACTCTGGCAGTTGCAGTGTGTAACTTTGGAGGCGTTTCTTACTGGCAGTCATTAGTATGTTGTTACGTGTACATAGCTGTAATGTTTGCCAGACTCCTGCATGTGTCTCCTCTGACCCTCTCCTCCTCCCTTCCCTCTCCCCACTCCCTCCTTTTCTTATCTTTTTGAGATTTCCTGTAATTTTGGTCTTCCTCTTATTGCTTTTCACATAGGTGGTAAGTTGGGTGTTTTTGACTTGGAATGCAACCCCTTGCAGATGTACACTAATTGCCTGTTTCCTAACAAAGATAACGCTCTGACCCATGCTTACTGTGATTTTGCTAGAGCAGGAAGCAAATGAGTCACAGGGCTTGTCTACACTGAGCTCCATTTGTTGCTGACATACTGATCATAAGTGCAGACACTTTTCTTTCACAATAAGCTCAACTGCTTGTAGGGTGGTAGTGCAGCTGCTCTGCCTTCAGTTCACACTTTCCCTTAACTCTTCTAGACAAACTCTTACTTATCCCTTTATTTATCCCTGTCTTGCCACATGTCATTCTCTTTGTGACTAAATCATTTTTGCTAGCTGTGTCTTGGAGATGCATGCTTGCTTCTCTGCAGGGAGGTCATCGCCCAGACTGTGACCCCAGAGACTTTTAAGGTATCTCTAGACTACCAGCCACATCTTCTAGAACCTGTGTGGAGATGCTAGCTTTGGTCCTGGAGCAAAACAGCCATTCTTCTGCAATGCCAATTATCTCAGTGGGTGAAATGAGCCACGCTGCTGTTGATTTTGGTCAATATGGGGAAGCTGTAAACTGCTGCATGGAGGAAACAAACAGAAGCAGGCTGAAGGCTGTCGCAGGGCGGAAGGAAAGCATTTGCAAGTCTACTAGAACAGCTCCAGCCTGCACCCAAAGACTGCAGTTATGAGCTGTGTTCTGCAAGGTTTGCAACCAGAGAGCCAGAGTTACAGCCAGACTGTGTTGTCAGGAGTCTTCCTGACATGCGAAGCAGTGCATTCTTCCAGTGTTCCTGCCTGCCTTCTTTCTGCTGGTCCGTGCTGGCCACAGGCTGCAGGATCTTCCTTTGTGGCTAGATGAGGTTGACAGTCAAGGTTTGCTGGTTTTCCATCTCTCTGTCATCCTACATTACGGAAGGGAAGTAGAGGATGTGCAGTCCAAGCTGTCATGTAACTGTAACACTGAATGACCTGTTATTACTGACTGGTACCCTTCTTTGGGCTTCAGTCCTGTATTAATTTGGGCTCTTGCTCCTAACTCAAGTCAGTGTCTGCACACAAAGCTCTTCCACTGTTATTTCCTGCAGCCAAGGCATACCCTGACCATGGAGAGGTCATCTTCACCCCCTTTGCCTGACTGGCAGCAGTGGCATCCCCAAAGATACTGTGGTCATCACAGGGCCCTGTTTTCCCTCTGGCTTTGCCATGTTTCACAGCTCATCCCAGGCTACTTCCCTTCCCTCGGATCTCTCTGGGCTCCTTTTTCATCAGCTCACTGTTGTCATTGCTGCCTGCTCAGAAGGCTGCCCACGTGCCAAGCATGGTACTTCTAGCACCTGGGGGACTGAGTACAGACACCTTCTCTGAGGGGTGATGGAGACTGGGATCCCAGAGCAGGTTAAGGCAACCTCAAGCCTCCAAATGGAGCAGTTCAGGTCCTACATGAACATAGCCATTCCCTTCCTGTTTGTGGCTCGGGTGGGCAACTTTCAGTCTGAGAATTAGACAGAAAGAGGGTAAAGAGAGGAATCCTATGGAAATGTCAAGGCAGCCTCAACCTGTGAATCAGAAGAGGTAATGGCTACTCCTGGGCATCTCACTCCAACTCAGAGCAGTTGCTACTGGAATGGAGCATTGGAAATCATAAGAGAACGGTCTGAGTAGGGCCTCAGTCGGCTGTTTCCCTATGCCTCACAGCAGGATCAAGTAGAGCTTTTCCATCAGAGGCTGGCAGAGCCTCTGGAGACATGGGGGTGTAAGGCACCATGCAGATGACCAGGGAGCTTCATCATCACTCTCTTCATTACCCTCCAGTATTTAGCTGTTTTTCTTTTTGGAGAGGTGTGTGGGACTTGGGTACCAAATGCACCTTCCTTTTTCTAGCTATATTCACACAAGGATGCTTGTCTCTGAGTAATCTTGGGAATGCCTGCTTAGTGCTGCCTGCCTTGGGCTTAAATGAAAGCAGGGAGATGTAATTCATCTGATGTTGCCTATTTACGTCATGTTGGAAAGCAGCATGAATATGATGCTATATTTCTCTGCCATCCCTTCCAGAACATTGGGAAAAAGATGACCTGCCAAGAGTTCATTGCTAACCTCCAGGGGATGAACGATGGCAAAGACTTCCCGAAAGGGCTCTTGAAGGTAAGGAATGAACTGCAGAACATGAGTTTTGTTTTTAGTGAGAGATGGTTGAAAACAGAACACGCTGCTTGCATTTTCTGAGTCTTTATTGTCAAATGTGACAAGCAACAGGCACATTTCTCCTCCTAGAATGTATGTAATACACACAGTATTTGTTCTGTCATTTTTTCTCTTGCCTTCACTTGATTGTGATTGAGACTCTCTGCAGCATGGAGAGGCAAGACTGAACTCCAGTAGGGCCAGCTCCAGAGCTGTGTACCTTGTAAGCAGATGCGGTCATGCCGTCCCAGAGTGCTATCTCCTGATTGAAGCGGATAGAAGCAGCCAGTTGGTTCTGACTATTGAATATGTAAGGGCTAATCCTGAGCTCTGCGTATCTGGAAGGCGTGTGTGTTTTTTCATCAAAGGTGCTTCGGGGTTTTCACATTAGAGCAGGAGATGTAATTTCAGATTAGAATGTGTTGTCTGGCACAGGCTGCTATGCTTCAGGTTTTGTTCATTAAGTTTGTGCCAGGAGTTATATCTGAAGAACAGGGAAAAATGAATCTTGTTTCATTGTCAATAATAATGAGAATATTTCATTTCTCTTTTGTCTGATTGCTGGCATGAAACAGCAGTCAGTTTGAATGAAGAAAGGAGCGCATACACTACAGTTCATAACTTTTTTTTCTTTTGTAATGGAAATAAAAATGAGAGTTGCTGAATCTGAGAGCTGACCCAAAGCCTACTGAAGTAAATCAAAAGAATTGTCATCTCTTCTGCAGATTTTGTCTCAGGCCTATTGTGAAATGCAGATGTAGCTGCATAGTTACCAGCGGCAGACTTTGTTTTCTAGTATCGGTAGTTTCTCCAGTTTCTCCAGCCTCTTGAAGGAGCTTTTTGTTGGGCCCTCCTGCCTTAGTTCTTACTAAGGAGTTAGGAATATAAACTCAACCCCCTTGTTTTTAGATTTAATACCTTTATTTTAAAAATCTGGATACAGAGTATTCCTCTGTCAGCAGCAACACTTAAATTATTTTTTTTTTCCTCAAGGAATCTCGTTTCTCAGTCTGCCATAGAAAGATGTGTTGAGATTAATTTGCGGGCTAATTACAGCCCGTACTGAATAAATAGGTCTCCAGACTGTGTTTAAATAACCTTCTGAATGTACTGACAAGAGACTTCCACTGGTGGTCACCTGCTGTTTA